TCAAGGATAACTTTTTATATGTAAATTAAATCAATTACATCAAAAAATATATAACAATTTTCGCCTTCAGTGAAACATTTGTAAAAAATTAATATTAAACGTAAATGTAATTAAATCAAAACAACTTTAAATACATAATATGAAATAAATTGAAACAATTAAGTTGTATCATTACAACACAAAATATTAGGTCAAATGCCACTTTTACAGACATATTTGACAGTTATAGAATATATTACATTTAATATTTTAATAAATTTTACCAATTGGGACCAAAAAATATATGAAAAAGAAATTAGTGAATAAATCTGCGGAAAGAATATATTCTCAATACGGAAAAAATTTTAAAAATCTTATATATGCCAACATTGTGCATCCAGAAATTAACTATCTATATATTTAGCGATATCTGTCATTTTCATTCGCTCTCTCTCGGGTACCGATAATAATTTTTTTACTATATCAATTTTTTCCTTATTCCAGTTAGTATATTTTCTTCTTGGAATAGCCGATGTTGGATAAGTAATAGAATCACCACTTACAGAGGAAGAATTGATCATATGGAAATTATTTGTAATATTAGGTATTGAATTTGAATTAGATAAAACAGGATCAGGATTTAATGTAAATGAATTTGTATTACTAGATAAAATTTGTCGTATATTAAACATTTGAAAAAAATATTAAACTCTAATTTATAAAAAAAATTAAGTTATATAAAAATTGTAAATGCAAAAAAATTACCGTATGTATTTTATAAAAAAAATTAAATTATATAAAAATTGTAAATGCAAAAAAATTACCGTATGTATTTTTTAAATCTGTTTGTTATATATTATATATTTGATTGTCATTTATTTTTTGAGGGTTGTGCAAAAATAAAAAAACATATTGTTATTTTATTTTAATTGTTTGTTTTTTTTAAAATAATTTACCCTATAAAAGCATGAAATTCTAGAGCTATAAGCTAATTAAATGATACTATTTAATATTCTTATATATTTATACATGGAACCAATAACAGATACCAGCATTTCTGCAAACTGTTTGGTAATTTCAACGTTCCATGTCCCACAAAATATATTATTATATTTTAAATAGTGTAATTTTATCCATTCTCACTTCAAAATTTATAAATGTTTAAAAAAACGCAAGCTATTTTGTAATTTAAAAAAAATAAATTTAAAATGAATAACGGAAATGTGCTCAATTTGAAAGAATGCATTTAAAATGCATTATTTGCGTTTTGAAACGCAGCGTAGAATCGTTCAATTTGTGCGCACTATAGGATTGGAGAAAAGAAATTTTCTATGATGGAAATTATTATATATATTTATATATTATGTAAAAAATGGCTATTTGTAACAATAGTAGAGGGGCAAAAATAATAAAAATATATTTAAAAAAGAAGAATGGCATATGTGTTGAACTAAGAGGGAAAATGAAGTGTTTCGAAGAAACACTTGTAATTCCCTTTTAGGATTTTATTTGAAAGATATGGACACGTTTATAACACCCATCCTTATTAATTTTTTTCTACCCAATTAAAATTTGAATTTCTTATTCTATGATGTCTGAGTCTATAATATCAAAAACTAATTTTTTTTTATCATATATCGATAAAATGAATATTAATTATTACTTTTACAAAATTTTTCAACAAATTTTTGATATAAATAAAAAGTAAAAACTGTTAAATTTTTTAATTTGATTATATGGAAAAAAAATCAATATAAAAACTCGGCCTAACATCTAATATTGCATCAATTTTAAATAAAATAAAATTTCATTTTTATTGAATATTAAATTAACAAATACAAATAGATTTATTAATATTTACAAAAATAACTTAATTTATACCTTAAATTTAAAATAGCGGTGGAGCGGAGCTCCTCCACTACAACCCTAAATAGAGCTAGCTCCCGCTCCTGAATTTTTGAAAGAAGGGGCGCGCCAGATGTTTTATTCCTTAACAACTCTGAATTAATCTATTGATATAACATTTTCTTAATAAATACATATTTTTCTCAGCGACCGACCGGCCCTGGCCAAAGCCCGGCCCGAGTACACACCCCGTTCCTTTTTCATACTTTGATATATTAATCTAGAAATCCACTCTGATATCGAAAGTCCGTTAAAATTTCTAAACATTAAATTTGATATAATATTTACTGTTTAAAACTCCCTCGATTACCTTAAATTTATAAGGCCAATTTTTTTTTTTTTGAAATATAAATATCTATTAGGAAATGATGTAAATAATATTAATCAGAATTTGTCATTGTACACCTGTCTTCAAAATATATCCATTAGACGGAACTGTATGATGCTTTATATAGAAATTATAAATTGGTCTTTTCTTGATCTTACTAATTTTGGATTCCTTTTTAATGGACTATCTTTAAATAAAGGTATAATTTTTGAATTGAGTGACATCTTTACATATTCATCTCCTTAATATTTGGAATATTATTATCATGTTCTTAATGATTTTACTTTTCTAAATATCAGTTAATTAATAGTAAAAAAATAGTTCATTTGCAAATGGACACTGAGAAACCTGATAATTAAATATCTTAATTTATTATTTCATTCAAAGTGGATTGAATAATCCTAATCAACCTAACAATCTACCTATTTGAAAATTTTAAACTCCAATTTAAACTTAAAATAATTTTTTTTAAATCTGCTAACTAACAGTTGAAAAAATTCGCTAAACCATAAGGCAAGACTACATCCTTTTTTATCATCAAGGATAACTTTTTATATGTAAATTAAATCAATTACATCAAAAAATATATAACAATTTTCGCCTTCAGTGAAACATTTGTAAAAAATTAATATTAAACGTAAATGTAATTAAATCAAAACAACTTTAAATACATAATATGAAATAAATTGAAACAATTAAGTTGTATCATTACAACACAAAATATTAGGTCAAATGCCACTTTTACAGACATATTTGATAGTTATAGAGGATATTACATTTAAAGTTGTATCATTACAACACAAAATATTAGGTCAAATGCCACTTTTACAGACATATTTGATAGTTATAGAGGATATTACATTTAATATTTTACTAAATTTTACCAATTGGGACTAAAAAATATACGAAAAAGAAATTAGTGAATAAATGTGCTGAAGGAATAAATTCTCAATACGGGAAAAATTTTAAACATCTTATATTTGCCAATATTGTGCATCCAGAAATTAACAAAATGAACTGCCAGGAGGTAAATATTTTGATTTAAAAAAATATTTATTACTGATTTATTACATTAGTGCATGCTAATAATTACCAGGTCGTACTCGCTTCAGTGTTCAAGAATGATCCTTTTGAATTAATATATGCTTTCATTTTTTTTTCTTTTTAGCTTTCACCTTTTCTGGTGGTAAGCTCCTTCAACATCTCTCTCCACTTTATGTTATTCATACAATCTCTTTTATCTAATTTATACTTCTTTATATTGGCTCTAACTTTATGGCCCCATTGAAGTTTTGGCCTTCCTCTTTTACGTTTGCCCATCACTTCAAAACTCTCAACCTTATTTCCTATATAGTTCATAGGCTCATTGTGTGCCCATACTACCTAAGTCTGTTTACCATTAACTTAGTCTTAATGGGCACTACCTTTAAACTACTTAGTATTCTTGTACTGCGCACATTATCCTTTCTTGTTACCCCATCATTCATCCTCAGCATTCTCATCTCCATAGTTTGTAGACTTCTCTCGTCTGATTCTTTGGTTGGAAATGTTTCCGAACAATAAAGAATAGTTGGTTTTACTATGGAACTGTAAATTCCCTTTAATTTGTGTGGGATTCTTTTGTCAAATAGCACTCCAGATAAAGATCTCCACTTAAACCACCCTTGATTAATCTTACTCTTTATCTCTTTTTCTATTGTGGCGCTTGTTTGTATAGTGGAGGCCAAATATTTGCAGCTTTCAATTGCCGATATCTGCCATTTATTTATATCAATACTCTCTGTTTCATCTCCTCTTATCACCATATACTCCGTATTTTCTCTATTTACTTTTAATCCGTGTTCTAGGATATTTCTCTAACTCACTAATCTTTCTTTCATTTCATCCTTAGATTCGGCAATTATCACAACATCGTCTGCAAATATCATATTCCACAGGACTGTTTGAGATATATTACTGTAATGAAGAGAAGTGGGCTGAGAGCCGACCCTTGATAAACTCCTTCGGCTATTGTGAAGCCTGCTGAAGTACCTTTGTGCTACGGACCATTGTTGTATGGCCCATATACATATCCTGTATTATTCTTATATATTTTTCGGGAACCTTTTTGTGGCGTAGCGCTCACCAGATAAGTTTTTTTAGGATTCTATAAGCCTTTTCTAAATCAAGAAAGACCATGTGTAGCTTTTTGTTCTCCTTGTATTTTTCACTCATTTGCCTAATTGCGTGGATAGCATCGGTTGTTGATCTTCCAGGCATAAAGCCAAACTGAGTCTCTCCTATTTCGATTATATCTCTTTATCTTTTTTCTATTATTTTTTCGTATAGTTTTAGACAGTGTGACATTAGTTTTATGCCCCTGTAATTTTGACAATTGTGTGGATCCCCTTTATTTTTGAAGATAGGAACTAGATAGCTCTGCTTCCATTTTTGGGGAATCTCTTCATTTCCAAGTATTTTATTGTACAGAATAATGAGGAGATGTATTCCATCATCTCCTAGTGCTTTAAGACTTTCTATTGGAATATCGTCTAGAGCCCTAGCTTTTTTGTTTTACACATGCTTGAGGCATGTGATTATTTCTTGTTCTGTAATAGGTTGTACAAGGTTTTGACATGGGGAGTGTTCGATTAGATGTAGTATGTGGGTATTAAAGTTGAGAAGCTTCTAAAATATTCTTTCCATCTATTCATTATTTATTTTTCCTTTATTATCAATTTCCCATCTTTATTTTTGATTACTTTCGGAGATCCGTTTATATCTCTAGAGTTCTTTTCTCGCTGTTTGGCTAATCTGTATATTTTATTTTACCCTTTAGATCTTCGTACATGTCATCGTATGCCATAGATTTGGCCCTAGCCACCACCTTTTTAGCTATTCTCTTATATTTTTTGTAATTAGTCTTGTCATCTGGATTTTTGGATTTGTACCATATTTTATTAAGGGCTTTTTTCTCCTGTATAGTGGTTTGTACCTCTTCATTCCACCACCATAATTTTTGTATGATTTACTACCTCTCCTTGTCAAGCCTAGTGTCGATTTGACAGTGTCTATTAATCTGGATGAAAGGTCTGTCCACATTTTTTCACTGACTTGTGCGGAATCTATTGTTTCAATGTTTGCATTGATTGCAAAGGCATCTGTCTGTTTTTAATTTGCCCCATTTGATGCATGATATTTTATCTTGTTTTGAGTGGATTTATTTGAGATGTGTAAATCCATGACTAGTAGCTTGTGTTGCGCGGCGATATCTTCTCCTGGGATGACTTTGCAGTCTATTACATCTTTTAATCTTCTGCGAGAGATTAGCATGTAATCTATTTGTGTTTTCCTTGTACCACTTTCATATGTTATTAGATGACTGTCTTTTTTCCTATAGTAGGTGTTGATTAACGCAAGGTCGAAGGCTTGGGTAAATTTCAGTATATGCTCTTCTTCATCATTTCTTTCTCCATATCCAAAACCACCATGATGCCTTTTGTAGCTATCTCTTGCTTTCCCCACATGCGCATTTAAATCACCACCAATTATGACTAGGTCATTCTTAGAGATTTCCATTACAGCTTCATCAAGGATAGTTATAAAGTCATCTTTCTCTTCTGCCTTGCAACCCGTTTGAGGAGCGTATACTGAAAGGATGTGTAGTATTGATTGACCAATGCAGAGTTTTATCTTCATTAGTCTTTCAGAGATCCTTTTGACTTCTACTACTGAGGAGGTTAGATCTTGACTGAGAATGATGCCGACACCGTTCCTATTGCTAACAATTCCATTATAGTACAATTTATACTCATCTCCAATCATCAAAGTTTTCTTTCCCTTCCATTTCGTCTCTTGTATGCACGCTATATCAACTTTTCTCTTGTTCAACATTGATGCCAATTCTCTCTTCTCACCTTTAAGCGACCCAATATTTAAACTTGCTAATCTTGTCTTCTTTGCTTTGACTTTTACTTTACTTTACTTTTCACAAGATGGAGGTCTACACCCTGCGCGTCGCTTGGAGGAAACGCCCTAGCTTTCATATTCATATTTCCATTTGTTTCCTTCATTTTGTTTATTGGACAGGTATCCTTAGCACGCGGCTGTCCAGACCTGTCGGTGACTGGGATGTCATCTCTAAGCTTCGAAATTCATCATACCATATGTCTTTACACATCAGTTATTGAAGAAAAACTTGAAAGTTTTTATACTCCTTACCAGGATTGAACCTGCGTCCTTGTTCATACTTCTGTTTCCAAGCATACATCTAACCCATTAGGCCACCCCGGCTAATATAGGCTCTCATAAGTTACATAAATAAGAAAAATTTAGAGCTTAAAGCATTGATATTTGAATTTCTTTTAAAATGTGGTGGGGGGGGGGGTGGGTAAAAATTAAAGAATATTAGACACTAGCGAGAATATAATGAGTATAATTACAAAGAATATATTCAAGCCAATATCCGATTTGAAAATTTTGCATGCCATAAGTTTGTATACATTATTATGAAGCGGAAAATATTGAATGAATTCCCGTGATTACCAATTTAGAATTAAAATAATTAGGAGCCACGCGATTCGTGTGAATGTATCTTACCGAGCTCACTCCCCAATATTTTTTATGCATGACAACCTTACCGGATTAGAATTTTATTCTACAAGCTCTTTTACTTTGTCCACAATGGTAATTAGGATTAAGTTATCATTTGGAAAATATTACATTTATTCTACAAGTCGTTTTTTTTAAAATATATCAGAGCTATCAAGGGCCTTGGCCGGAGGGGCGGGCCGTATTTTAATTTTTTAAATATACCCAAGCTGTGTCTAAAATTCTTCTTTTTACAAAAAAATACGTTGGTCGGGTTTAAAAAAAATACCCGGATCATATATTTTAAAACCGAATTAAGTCGCCATTATAAGCTATGAAAATTTTAAAAATAAATGTAATAAAACTTTTCAAAATTAGGCGCAAAGGTGGATGGATTCTTCCTTAAACCCTGATACAATTTTGGCTCATTTCAGGTCTTGAAGCCATTATAAAATTAAAATGTTCTCCGCAAAACTTCTCTTGATATATGTCGTATATGTAAATACGTTTACATTTTATATTTTTTTTTTACGGGAAATGCCAATCAACCGATTAAAATAAGGTTGATTGGATATAAAATTAGATGTAATATTGTAGTTATATAATATAGATTTGATATTATAATTATTATTTTTTTTGGAATTAATTTGAAAAATTTTTTTCCTGATTTAACTTGAAAGCCACGTTAAAAGCATGACCTATTCTATCACCCTATAAAAAGATTCATTAAAAAATATTATTTTATAAGGAATAGGGGGGGGGGGGGTAAAATTTTGATGGGAAGGGGGGGGGAGGTAATATCGTCATTAGCTTAGGATGGTGTTTAGGTCCCTGAAGTAATTCCATACATGTTGATAAGAATTATTGATATTATCTTAAATAAAGATTTATTATTATTGACTTTTGAGTTATTTAAATTTTGGATTGTCATTTAGTTTTTCTTGGTTTTCTGATTTGTAATTTCGTATAATCTTTGATAGTTGTTTTTTTAGAAGGGTTGGGTTTAGTTTCGAGGATTTGTTTAGGTAGATTTTGTTTAGTTTGTGTTTTTAGGGTTTTTTTAATATAGAAAGAGATATATACTGTTTTGTAACAAATAATTAATTTCAATTATTATTTGTAAATAAATTTTTTTAATGATAATAAAGCGCCAACCTGCGGATTAACATTCATAAAATTAGGTTTTAAATTTGATTGAAGTTTTATTTCATTTTAACAGGTAAATGATTGTTTGATACAAACAAATTTTTTAAAATATTATTTATAAAAAATAAATTACTAATAATGATATAATATAAACTTATAAAAATTATCAAAAATTCGTTGTTAAATAACATCATAATTGAGGCATCAATTGATTACTATAAATGCTCATATTTTAATTAAAGTTAAAAGTTGATAACATTATGACATATTTTTCTTTGATATGATAATAAATGATAAAAATAATTTGAAAAATGAGTTTTAAAATTTTTAAAAAAATTGTGTTGTTTTTACAAACCCAAATCAGTTGCAAAATGCTTAAATCTAAGCTACTCACCAAAATATATGAAATTTGGAATATATATTTGATGAAGATACTGAAGAATTTAGAACATAATAATAAATCGTTTTTATTTAATATCAATTTTAGCAAGGCTGGGGTTTCATATACCCCAATGAAGTATCGAAGGGTTAAGCATTACTTGCTCATTAAATATAAAGATTTATTTTTATTCTACCTTACCCTTCAACTTCTAGAAACAAAGCAAATGAAAGAAAAAGACTAAGAGAATGTGGTGATACCTATATCAATATTAAAGGTGATTTGAAAAGAGTAAGGATGGTTCAGAATGATCATTCTAATAAATGTACATTTCAATAAAAAAGTTAAATCAGAGTAAAATTATTTATGATACTTTTTGGAGATTAGCTTAAGCTAAATAGCAAATTTATTGTTAGGCTTAGGACTCCATGTAAGAGAAGGATAAAAGATTCTTTAAATTATAAAAACTATTCATACTTATATATATTTAAAGTGGAGAATGTTAAAGTTAGAGTTTGAGATAATTTTTCTTACAAACACTTGTCATAGGTTATGAACATATTAGTTATTTCTTTAACAATTTATATCAAAATACTGGAAACAGGCAAAGAGATTCTTCAAAAAAGTACTTTAGGGGGGTGGGAGTCTCAATTATATATGATTTATATTCTAAAAAATGTGATGAATTATCATGAATTCCTGTTAAAGATCATTATATTACATATACATAGGTCAAATTCAAATAAATGCTTTTTACGCCAATATTAACTTTATGTTGTAATATATAATATTATAATGAATGTAATAATAAATTTCATAATATTTTAATTTATGCCACAATTAATGTTTGGTCATTTGTGGCAGAGTCTTATTCCGATTCATATACAATATTATTATTTTCTTTTATTTTTTAATCACTCTTAAGTTATAATATACTCTTACCAATTTTTCTATTGTAGAAGTCTTCAATCGATTTCTGTTTTTCGTATGAATATTTCCCTAAACCGACCAATTTCTTTCTGTAGAAGTCGAACTAGGAAATGTTAGTAAAATATTAGCCACTTCTCTTAATGTGCAAGGTGGGCAAAGCGCATTACACAAATTTCGTTTCTTATGGAAGTTACCACTTTCCACATATTTTGAATATTAAATATGCCGCTTTTAATTCTGAAAGCTTCATCAAATTCAGTATTATTAAAATGCTCCCCTTGATATTAGGAGTCCAATAAATAAACCGTATCGTGAGCATATGTATTTAGATCATTTTATTATTCTTTTTTTAAAACATAATTTATTTTGTTCAGATGCAAAAAATATAGAATCAGGGAAAGTAGTTTTGTCAAAAAGCTCTATTCGGTTGGATTTTAAAAAACGGTCCGATTAAGATTTTAACTAAAATAACATTAAGCGAGCTTAAAGATTTTGCTAACAGCTGGCAGAATGCTTGGACATCTTTTATCCAAATATCAATGACAATATCATTTTAGCTAACATCTTTCAAGCATCTCATTTTCTACGTGGACTAAAGTTCATTTATCCCTTTACACTTTCAACAATGAGGTAGCTAAAGGTTGGAGTAATAACTAAAAATTTTAAATTTTCGTCCAAAATTTTTTTTCATCTATATATATAATCCCAAAAAATGTCAATCAAATTTAGCCAATAGTTTTCTTTTAAATATTATTTGTCCAATCAAAATGATTATAGCAGTCACAGTCACAACTGTGACATTATATAGTCAATTATTTTACCTGATAATAGTCAATTATAATTTTGTTAATATATTATGTAATATTCTACTTCTTTATTAATTATTGGACGTTTGTCCTACTTAAATAGGGAGTGATTCTTAATAATATTTAATTAATATTAACAAATTCGGAAGTATTTAAGTTATGTTAAATTGTAGTTTTAATCTCCATGATATTTAGCGCCATCTATAATATTATATTTTATTTTAAATAGCATTATATTTCTAAGTTGAAAAGTAAATATTTTGTCTTAATTGATGTCAAATATAATGTTCTTTCTATATATCTATAATTTATCTATCTATCTATCATAGCAATTTTAAGCCAATTTA